TATTTTCTAATTATTACCTTATATTTATTAAGGTTTATTTACTATTTCTTTTTCTTTTAAGGCTAAATAATTATTTATTAGGTTCTCTAAACTGCCTGATTTTTAGCTTAATTATATTATTAAAAGAATAGAGTTTATATAACTATTATATATTTGTTTTTATTTAGTAATATTAGAAGTCTAAATATAATTAAATAATAAATAGCCGCTTTATTAAAAAGCTTTTTAATAAAGTTAATATATTAATTGAAAGTAGCTAGAAAAAAAGCTAAATAAAAAACAATATTTACTAAAAAGTATATCCCAGAAGTCGGTCTTCTTATTAACCCTTAATAAGCAGTACACTATCTACAGTTATGAAGCTTTTATCGCGAATTGTCTCCCAGTGCTAGTCAACGCACTTCAGTAGTATAAACCAAAACATCGATAGTGGAGCAGTCATATGCGGAAGAAGCTTGTGTCACGAAGAGTGTCAAAGACATTTTCGGAATCAAATGGACAAACTGGCGCACGGTGGAGCTTGCGTAATAAGAAACCAAATACGCCACCCTCCGAGTAAGTACACCTCAGAAGCTAGGCTAAGGGTATGCTGACGGCCGCTTGCATCGACGTAGATTAAATTGATAAACTTCAGACCGATCTCTTGCGAAGCCCACTAGCCGGCCCTTTTCTCCGCCTTAATACCGTACTGAAGACAGACCCTGTAACACTTAAGAAAAAACATCGAATATTAGTTATCCCTTGAGTAGTATTCATGGGAAATGGAAGAGGCTTGCCCGGTTTAGCATACGAGACATATACTGGAGAGGGATGTGGCCGATATGCTAGCTTTCTACTAATTAGTGCTTTGTAGTATAATATACCAATTGTTTCTACCTTTCACATCTTGTCTTTCCGATGTCAACGCCCTAGTTAATTTGGTGGTGTTTTACCATGTATTTGATTTCTCGCTTTGAATGTCGCTTCCCTCGACCGTACCACGCTCCCGTGTTGGGACTGGCTGAGAGTTCAGCTGGAAGGAGCCTATTCAATCCGTCCAGCGTGTGCGTGTCACGGGGTCACTACAGCCTGAATACGGAAGCTCTTGCATTGTATGGAGGTGAGTGAGGAGAGCGGCTCAACCCTCCTGGGATCGGGCGAGCATTACATTCACGTACATCAGGCCTGCCTCAGCGCTAAGTGCCGCTGGGCATTCTTTGACCCTTCTGAGTGCCGTATCACAGATGCATGAATCTCTACTGTATCTCTAAATGCAACCCCAGCTGATCCTTTACTCCTTTTGCCAGTACCGTTTGAGTATCGGTGTTAATATCTGCCTTTCAAAGTCACTTGACGCGGCATCGCCGCTGCATATCTCTCCCTTACCCAGCTGATCCTTCGCTAGTATAGTTTTGGTGCCAAACGTCGGTTCAATTCTGCCTTGCTAGAATCTGTATGAATCTCCCAAAGCCACTTGACGCGGCATCACCGCTGTATGTCTCTCCTTTAACCCAGATGATCCTTCTCCAGTACTGTTTAGGTGCCAACGTCGGTATAATTCTGCCTTGCTAGAATTTGCATAAACCTCCTAAACTTTTTCATAAATCCTGCTTAATGCAGCATCGTTGCTATCTGGATCTCATAGCGATTAGCAGATATAGTAGCCAACTGCCTTCTATTCAATTAATACACTATCGCCGAGGTGCGTCCGCCTGCATACAGTCGGTCCGATCCAAAAGCGACAAAACGGTCGCTCTTTTACGCCCATAATAACTTTTTAACCACAACCCTAATTAATTAATACTAAGTGATGCGATTATAGAGTAGAACGAGGCAAAAAATACCTATTAATCAGATTTTTAATATAATTTGTAGTTCATTAATAATCGAGGTTCAAAGTGCACGGACCCTTTTTACTTTTTTGATTTTTCCTCATACAAAACGCCAATATATTTGCTCGCTAAGGTCACGTGATCCCGGACTTTAGGGGGAGATCGCGGCATCTCACCAGCCTTATTATTAATATAATAATAATAATTAAGTCCTATAAGCTTAAGTTAACCTTCCTAAATACTAAATATAGCTTTTTCTGGTATTATATATATTATATATATGGTAGGGCCCTAATTATATGGGTTTCAAGCTAACTTTTAGCTGAACTAAATCCATAAACATTACTTATTACTTAGCTACCTTCTTTCCCTTACTTTTGCATATTATCCCATTCGTCTATTACCTTTTTAGATATCGTTCTATAGCGTTTTTGCTTCCGTATACACCAAGCAGCTTGTTTAATACTTAATCCCTTCCGATATGCATCCATCCAGTAGAACGTACGGTTGCAAAATCTCCGTATAGTCTCAATCGAACAAGATTCAAGTGCCTCCACCACCTTAATCTTGGCATCTGGGAAGCTAGAAATAATATTAGTATACTTGTATTATAATATAAAAATAAGAAAATAAAATAAGAAACTTACTAGTCTGTTCTGTGAGTCTTTGCTCTAGCTATGCGAATATAGGCTTCTCCAAAATAATCGTCTCATTACCACTAATAATAAGCTTTCGCTGAGCCCAAAAGAGAGCCGAATCTTCAAGCTCTGCTTCGTTGCTTTATTCAATATCTGATTCATCAGAATTATCCTCTATATTAGAGGGTTTCCCATGCCGTTCGTTAATAGATGCTTGGATTGCAGCTTCTTCAGCTATGGTGAGAACTGTAATTGAATCAAGAGTCGAATTAGCTCGCTTGCGTTTCTGAAGCCTCACAGAGGTAGCTATTGGAAGTATGCAAAAGGGGCACTTGATTGGGTTTGTGGTTATTGAGGTATTAATATAATTATAGAAGAGCGGTCAACTTAGGGGGCAGTCACGTGACAACCAAAGTAAAAAAACGACCATACAAAACGCCAATATATTTGCTCGCTTAATCACGTGCATTATAACTTCCTTAATAATAAAGATATTATAATTTTGAGAACATAGAATTAATTCCTATAGTATATAGTATAGTTTTAATTAATACGATTTATATCAATTAGTATTGTGGTGGTTTTTATTTTTTTTTGTCGCTTTTGGATCGGACCAACTATACGTCCACGAAGCACGCCTGCTCTTCTTAAGCTGCGGAGGCGTGCCAATGTGGCCTAATCCTGTACGGTATTTTGTTATACGGCAGCACCGGGGCATCGTATTCCCCTTGTTTACTGCAACTCGCTCCTGGGGAGACTGTGGCTCGCCTTACATGAAATAGTAGAATGTAGAAGGAGCTAGGAGCCTAGACATCAACGGACGCTAGGATTCGTAGCAGGCTCGGCAACGATTGGCGTTTTGCACTATCGATAACAATTGATGCCACAATCATAAGGTATCAATAGTGCAATCGATTATTTAGCGAGCTAATCCCTACATACGTCTGATTTTACCCCTTTTCTAATGCCAGAAGATCCAGGAGTTTAGTAGAGTACTATACTATATATAATAAAGGTAAGGCTCTCTCTTATTTACTTTATTAAAGAAAGTATCTAGAACTCTGCTCCTTTTCTAGTACTTAAGGTACTCCTGCATCTTGTCTCGGCTTCAAGCTGCCCCCTATTCTAGGTAGCTTACCGTACAACAAGCCCCTGAAAAGACTCCTTCTGGCTTATCGCTCATTAGTACTATTAAAATGATATTAATAGCTATTCCTGTATCCGGTAAGATATAGTCCATACTAGTAAGGGGGTCTGTCACGATTTACCCTACCAAAAATCGGCCGCGCTTACATATTACTGCCCCTCCTTCCTTTTCTCTCAGTATTTACTATTACCTAAAATATTTACTCTCTCTCTATATATAAAAGTATAAAAGTAAAAGGGGGGATTAGGGAATATTAAATTCAAGTAGTTAAAAGCCTTGGTTCTCATTATTAAAGGCGGGGAAAGGCCCCTTAATAGTACAAATCTACTAGTCTCCCACTAGCCCTCCCATACGCTAGCTGCCTTGGGCCTATAAGCTTGGCAACTTTTAATAGGGGAGGGGTTAAGAGGGCGAGTATACAAAAGTAAAAAGCAATAAGTGGAGAGAGAAAGTGAGAAGTGAGCTTCGAGGCTTGTCAATCGCGAGGAAAAGGGAGCCCTATAATTATAGGCTGCTTATCGCTAAATTTTAGGGCCACGGTCGCTAAATTATAGGCTATAGGTACTAAAAATTTAGTGCTTAGCTTTCGTGGGGTGCGGGGTAATAATCGTTTAGTAATCGATTACCAATCGATTACAATCGATAGCTAATCAATAGTGCACACAATCGATTACTAATCGATTGCTCAGCAATCGTTGCCGAGCCTGAAAATTTCGTAGTGCCGTTTTTTGTACCTTTTTAAACAACTATGTAAAATCACTTGTCGCACGCGAATTCTTATAGCATCTAAGTTAGTTGAAGCTCTTAGAAAAATTGAAGTCGTACACTTGTATACGAGTTGGGTTGTTTGGAGAGAGTTGAGGGGAAGTTTCGAGAGCATTAAGCGACGCTTCTCTGCGAATTTTCGGTTAAAAAGGGGACCTAAATTGGCTCCGGCAAGGACCCATAATAAACGTAACAGGGGACCGAGAACGGTCACTGTCACGATCTCTTAATAGGCTTAGAGAAGTAGCTATATTACAGGCAATAAGGTCTGCAAAATTTTATATACAAATGATATGGAAACTGTAACCGATTCTCGAGGGAGCTAGAAAGGGGTCCCCCTCTAATCGTGATCTAACTGACTCACTAGCGCACTCAGAACTCAGGGCTTAACTCAGATTAGAGCAGCGACTGCTCAGGTCCAAAGACGGAAATTGGCTTTGTTGAGCTCAATTGTCATCTGAGACTTTAGAGGAAGGGAATGCATCCAAAGGCAGGCGAATATCCCGTTTCTCGCTTAGTGTATAGCGTCCACAGGCAGGGTGCTGCCCATGCTAGGCAGAAGCGGCCCTAGATCACATGAGTAAAGTTGTAGCCCCTTCATTTTTGTTCTGATTTTAAACTACCTACTCCTACTACAAGTCAATTCAAACCGAACCAGTTCAACACGACCGTCTCGTTCGTCTGAATATTATGCGTCACCCCCTGGGCACTCGTAGCTTGAAACCTGTCCCCATAAACATATGTTGTCCAGCCCTTCTCGTAATGATCCGCCAATATGCTAGCAGGCGTGCTCGGTAATCCTAGAACAGCAGTCCACTCTTTTATCTCCTCTTGAAGATTCTGAGGATAAAGTGTTGTGTCTGCCGTTCCATGGAAGACTTGAATCTTCGGTCGGCAGCCCTTGAAGCCAGGATACGTGGAGTCCAGGATGGTTTTCCACTCGGACCCAGTTTTGATGATTTTCCCGGTGGCGCAAGGATCGGACCAAACATCGAAGCCATTTCCTGCGAAACAGCCAAACGCTACACCAGCCCAGGCTGAACCAGCTGCAAAGACATCGGGATAAGAGCCCAGGAGGACATTTGTCATCATTGCTCCAGACGAAGTTCCCATCGAGAAAACACGGCTCGGGTCCCCGTTGTACTTTGCAAGTGTCCACTTCACCATGCTGACTATTCCTAGACTATCGCCTCCACCGTTATGGGTGAGTGTCTGGTTCGAGGAGACGTCCCAGCATTTGTCGGCCGTGTTTGGCGAGTCTGGGAAGATCATGATGTAGCCATGAGTATCGGCCAGAGTCGCGAGTTGCGTCCCTTTAAAGCAGTCTTGTGCGGTGCCATGGCACCAATGTGGATTTACGAGGATTGGGGGCTTGGCTTGGAGTTTCGATGGGACGTAAAGGTAGAAGCCTACGTTTGTGGGGTTGGTGCCGAAGTCTTTAATTTGGACGAGAGAGCCGGCTGCACTGAGTGCTGGAGATGGTAGAGAGAGGAAGGCAAGTGGAGGGAAGAAAACACCAAGAAAGAATTGAACTTGAATCATGTTGATTGAAGATAAGAGGCTCGTGGGATTGGAAAAACAAGAGTGGAAGCTGGGTGGTGAGAAACAGGAGGGGTTCAGGAAAAATCATCGAATATAAGCACTGCGAAAGCTCAATAGATTCAGGCCAAGAATCAGCCTTGTGTGATACTCGGAGGACCCCGTTCCGCCGGTTATATTATTACGACGTATGGCTACTGGCAAAATGGGAAGAGGGGGGAGTTTTCCCGACGTGAGATTATGACTGATTGGACCCCGCATTTTCGCTTAGCTTGCCCCTGAATCGATCGCTTAAAGTAACAAGGAGCGGCATCTCCTCTTCCGCATCCAATGACGACGACGCTAAAAAGTGAGTGTACATCAATAGAAACGTGTAGAACGTTGAACCTCATTGAGAACGCCGTTAAATGCAAGATGTCTTGCTTAGTAGTTGAAAAGACCTAAGACACGATTGGAGGAAATTGAGGTTGACAAGTCATTACCTCGGTTCAATTTCAATGGAGTTTGGAATGTGAAATGGGCTGTGATGAGACGAAACTCCTTTTTCTGCATATGAGAGTGTTTATATGTGTAATGCGCACCTGTGCCTGGAATCTCCTAAAATATCAAGTCTTTGACATTAAACACCATTAAATAACAACCGATTTTGAACGAAATATACAATATTCTCGAATGAGTCAAGGTTTTGATGTCGTCGAGGTCTACACCAGTACTGTACATCAGCAGGTCCAGTTCTCTAGCGCTCTTCTCCGTCGTTTCTTCCAGTTACTGATCCTCGTCTACTACTCTCCAGTCTAGTTTACCAGAAAATTTATTTTCTGAGAAATCGATTCCTTGAGGCTCAAGATCCCACGGCCAGTTAGTGCATAATTTGAGGGCGGTGGCGGTGGTGTGGTGGCTGCATCACGTGCATCAAACGCTGCTTCCCACTGCCTGTTGTGCCTCAGCATCGGTTGCCCGAATCTAAGAAGTCGGGCCGGGGCGTGTTTGCTTAACCCCCCTCTGAGAGTCTAAGCTGAATTATAGTAGCGTACCGAAAACGGCGTTCTCGAAGACAATTAAAGGCGTGGCGAGATTTGTTTGCGCGACTAACTCAAATACTGCATGCCAGATATTTGGGTTATTTTAGGTTAATATATTGGGTTTATTCGTGATAATTTACTCTACTAGAGGGATAGCTAATGCAATCTCTAACTAGTTCGAATTTACGCGCCCGTATAGCATAGCAAGATTACCAGAGGCAGTTATGTTAGTTATTCGGGAAGGGAGGGTACGAGCAGCTAGTTTGATCCGCAAAGCTTGGATGAGGCCGAGTACCAAGTTTTTGATAACTATGTACGTTAATAAGGAAGCTAGTTAGAAGAAGTTGAGCTGTACCTGGGGTAGCAGCCGTTGCAAAGACAATTTGGATAGTACCGGACGATAATGCGATACCAAGATCAGAACGTGTAGATTCAAAGAGACGAGGGAAGGCACCTAATCCTTTCTCGATCGAGTTATACCTGATTTGATCAAGTTTTGAGGCTATAGCCATTATTGCAGATTGAAAAGAACGTGAATGGAGTATTGAGGACCGGTGATGCAAGATGCAAGTTGTCGCTCAAGCTGGTGCGACCTTGCCATACGCCAGTTTCTCCTCGGCAGCACCCTTCAGGCCGAAGAGCTAATAAAATGGGTCCCAGCCCTTAAGAAATCCCGTTGGCCTAAGGAGTACTCTGAACCGGAGTGCAACACGAATTATCTGGCTGCAATAAAATTGTGCATTAAGCGGACTTTTGATAGAGTTCCACCCGCCTTATTTCTGATCCAATATTACTCAGTCTTGGAACTCCCCCCCCCCCCCCCCCCTGCCCCCAAAGGTGAGGTACACTAGGCAACCCACGCTCATCTCCTCCTTTCCTTGGCAGCTGATCGCATGTTCCTCCGTAGCACGTCAACCCCCACTGCCCCTATACTTATTAGTTTGATATGCAAAAACTAATTTACCTCTATTTTTCAACTGTACGCAAGATTCTCCTTGCCTTGTAGCGATGCGTAGGACCGCGGCCGGTCACTCAGCGCGGATTGTCTCGAGACTTGTCGCTTTATCCAATCGGCCTGTAACGTTGGAAGTACGTAAAGGGAAACCATTGCGTTGCACATTATTGTGCCTCCGAAATCACAATCCGGGAAGGAAAATGGCATTAGGCATTCTTGGCATTCGGTCCTGTAGATTTTTGTTAATGGTTCGATTGATGGAATCTGCTGACAAATATCCCACGCCCGGAGACGATTGACCCGTTCTACTGGGTTTGCCGCCCGTGTTGCAGAATTCTGGAAAAGACTAGTATACTCGGCAATTAGAAATCACTATTAGAGGCAAATGCCACCTCTTCGGAGTAAGAGTTGGGTCAGTTGAAAGAGGTTTTTCCAGAAAAGTGGTACCCCACTCCTTAAAACCTCCTTCCTTATCTTTTGGGTCTTGCTTTGGAAGGTGGCACCAAGGGGTTTATTCGCGCCAAGGAACCCCAGCTGCTAACCTCCGGGGAGCAAAACTTAGCGGTTAGGGCAAGGGTGGCACCCAACCCACTGGTGGGGCACCACAGGCCATGGTAGCGTTAGTCAGCTTGCCCCCTTACTGGCCCGGGGTCCCCTCAAGTTCCTTGGAGAGCCGTTGTGAGCTTGCACCGAAACAAAGAAGGCGGAACAAGGTCACCTTTATCGCCTCCCGAAGGATCGTCACTGACCGCAGATTGCTTCACCAAAACTTGCCCTTGGTCGAGTCCAGTCGTGCCGCATGCCTGGCCATGGTAGGGCAGGTCCGAGACGGTAG